ACCAAAGAGAAAGTCTTGGATTGGGACTGGTTTGTCTTAGAACCTCTCTAATTCTTGGATTTCGGTTTTTATCGAAAGAGCAGGCGTTATGCTATCACTTAATAAAATGACCTTTTCTCTTTAATCAAGTTTCATGTTTACCTTATTGATTGTAAGTAATTCTAGTTTTCCATTCATGGTAATGACGTAAAGTTTCCTTTTTAAATAAGTTTATTTTAGTAAAACACAGTGCTTCAAAGAGAAAAATTAACCCTCAGCACTACTTTGCTGCTAGAGATTTGCTCTCACATGTGCATATGAATAAGAATATTCCTTCAACTGTCTTGGCAAAAGCTCATAAGCAAGCTGAATGTCCACCAGTCGGGGAGCTGTTAAATCATTTAGAGTTACCCCTATCATGGGAGAGAATGCAGCTATGAAAAAGTGCAAGGGGGTCTTTGTGCTGATGTGTCTGTCCCCAGGATACGAGGTTCAGTGGCAGAAGCACAGCATGGCATGCCACCATTTATGAAAGCTATGATAGGAGAGCCCATAGCTCCGTGAGCACCTGGAAACACGTGTGGATGGATAAGGAGAAATCCGTGCAGTGGTCTTCTCTGCAGAGGGGGATGAGGAAACTTACTGTCCATTGTAAAAAAAGTTTTATACCTTTTAAAATGGGAACATATGAATGTGTTATCTAGTGAAAGAGATTGATGAGCTTCTTATTTTCAAATAAAATAAAATGGCAAATTTTCTCCCTCCTTAAAAAATAAAACAAAAGGCAGTACCTCGGGGCAGGAGGGCCACGTCACCTTTCCGTGGAGTGAGGTTCCACTGGGAGGCACACCACACCTTTAGGGTCCTGGGGGGCGGTACAGACTTCTGCCATCCCACCTGCTCTGCCCACAGGGTCTGGTTCCCACCCAGAGTGGGGACTTGGTCTGCGTGGCCCCTGATGGTTCCGAGCCCAGCTCTGCTAGTGGCACCCAGGCCTCCCGGCTGGACCCTGCGCTCCTCAAGGTGGGGGCCAAGCCTCCCTCTCAGCGTCAGAGCCCCGTTCAGGGCCTGGCCCCAGGGCGCACTCGGATTGCGCACACACACTGGAGAGGTGAGCTGGACACCCCAGCTCTTGAGCTCGTGGGTCTGGCCAGTTGGCAGCGTCCACAGCTGTGCCCCGAGGGTGGTGTCGGAGAGCGCGCAGGTTCTGTCCATCAGCCCGTGCTTGGTGATTGTCCACCGTCTCTGTGATCAGGCAGAGCCCGGCCGGCTCCGGTGCTTCCCCAACCCTGGTCGGGCCCCAGGTCCTGTGTGAGGGTGTGGAAAGAGATTTGCTTTTCTCTTTATTCAATGTTAAGTATGCAAATAACCTATCTATTTCCCCTTTGGAAAATCAGAGCATTGCACATAGACTAAAGTCACCTTGCAACTTGATTTTTCCACTCAACAGTATGTTCTTGAGACTCTGTTGAAATATCTAGAGAGCTGATTCATTCCTTGTCATTGGCATGCAGTTTTGCAGAAATGAATGAAGGCATTTTATTCAGGCATTCATTGTTGCTGAACCATTTGGGTCCTTACCCAAAAGCTTCTCTCACCATCCTCACATGTGTCTGTTGGCCCACGCATGCGAGTGTTTTTCTTGGGAACATACTAATTGCTAGGTCATAGGATGTGAAACTTTCAGTTTTAATAAATAATGCTAATTTGCCCTTCACAGCGGCTCTGTTAATTTATTCTCCTACTAGCAGCTGTTGAGAAGGCCGGTTTCTCCATGCCCTCACAGCACCTGATGTTATCAGACATTTTCATTCTTTCCAGTGCTATGAATAGAAGCTGGCGCCTTGTTTTGGTTTGTTTGCTGATTTCTCATGAGGATGGGCACCTTTGTGTGTGTTTATTGGCTGTCCCCATTCCCTCCTCTGTGCGTCACGTTCGCTGGTTTGTTCACCGTTTGCCTCGTGAAACCTGTGTGGACGCCACGTGGACATCCTCCTATATTGCCTTCTGATCATTTTTGTAATGGTGTCCTAGGCCCCAGCCGTTTTGAAGTGCAGGGGATTCGGATGGGCAGTGACATCTGGACAGTGACAGAGTATGGATGGCCAGAAAGCCTCATGTCACCCCTCACCTGGCCTGGACTCTCATAGCCACTGCTGTGCCGAGTCCCAGCAAAACCCACACGTGCACGCACGAAGGCTCAGGCGAAGGCCCTGGCGTGGGGGCAAAGTTGGGTTCCATGCAGCAACTGTCCTGGGCTCCTCCTTTACCCCAGATGTGGTAGCAATCTAAAGGTGAACTGTCACTGTCCCCCAGGGCTCCACGACCAGTGTGTGAGCCGCTGGGGGGTGGGGAACTGCAAACCATCATTTCCTTGATGTCCCTTGAAGGAGGCATTCTGTTGTAATCAGTGGAAACCGCTTCCTTTCTCCTGAACTGCCCCACAACTTCTGAAAAGCAAGAGGCTCCCTGCATGGAGCCTTCCTGTCCCACTGGTTTTTAGTTTAAAGCTGGATTTAGTTTTCTTGTGAAATCTGTCGCTGCGTTCTCACAGGGCTTTGATGTCTCAGTTACATTTCTGAACGTTGTTCTGCTTTGGAGTTTGTCCTTCCTTTTTTGCTCTTTTTGGTGGAGGGGGCGGGTCTTTTCCCCCCCTCGAAGCCCCCCAGGCAGCCAGGCAGGCCCCACGGTGACAGCACGGCTGTGCCTGCCCAGGCCAGCCCCCAGATGAGCGGCTGCTGCACGTGGGAACAGCAGAGAGTGAAGCTGGCCAGCCCAGAGCAGGGAAAGAAGAGAGGCTAGGAAGGGGGACAGAAGAGAAAGGAAAAAGGAAAGAACGTGTTTATTGTCTTTGTTCTATTTTTAAAAAGTATTTTTAAAAAAAATTCCCATTGAGGAAATGTTTAAAGTATTGAGTAAAGAAAATAAACCCTACCTACCACCAAGAAAACGTCGATAAGAAAGAATATGATGACTTACATTTTTGATAATACAGAAGACTAGAGATCTGGAGAAAGGCATCTAGTGTGGAACTAAACATTCAGGGTAAAATATATTTCCTAAAAAATATTTGCAAATACCTGGCTGGACTGTTGGGAAAGGGAAGAAGACTCTTGCCATAGACCATAAGAAAGTGCAAATGCAGGCAGCTAAGCCTGCCCAGTGCTGGCGTTGGCCGTGGGGGTATGTGGCTGTCCTCGGTGGTCATCTGCTAGACGGAATAGAGAGAAACACGAGGCCTGGGAGAGCTGAGGGGACAGACCGGGCCACTTCCACACGGAGCCAGAGTCCAGGAAGGTTACGCTATGGGAGGATTGAACCAAGGTGTGTGTCTATGGGGGAGGGGGAGAGAGAGGGAAAAAAAAGAAATTTACCTGTCATCTTTAGATCCAAATGAAAAGTGAAAATGGCAGGGGCAGGGGAGATCCGTTGAGAATACCTGAGTCTAGGTTTTTTATCATGTGTGTTTGGGGCCAGGATTATTATCATTTGTGTTATCTCTCTCTTCCCCCAATAAATTTAAGCTAAATATTTGCTTAAAGTGCTCCCAACAGAATGTATTGGGGTGATGGAAGTATTCCACAACCGGACTGTAGTAATGCACAACTATAAATTTACTTAACCTCAAACTATACACTTAAGTGAACTTTATGGTATATAAATTATACTTTAATAAAGCTGTTAAGAAAAACCAAAAGATCCCACCTACCATTCTTCCTTTAATCAGAGACTTCTGTTAATGTTTTGACACCTTTCTCTGCACTTGTATTTCTTTGTAGGGATACCTTTTTTTAACATATCAAACTCATAGTAATTATATTTTTATCCTCTTTCATTTAAAATTATAATGTTTTCCACTGTCATTACAATTATTTGCAAACATTTTAAACTTGGGTTTATTATATGTATTTCAAAAGTGTATCTTGAATACTTTCTCGTTTTAAAATAATTTCAAGCCATAGAGTGGTACATAGAACAAAAATGAAAGTTCTCCCATTGATACTTCCCCCCCAACTCACTCCCACTCCCAAGTCTCACTTCCCTACCCATAGGTAACCACTGTTTACAGTCTGGTTAAACATAACTTTTAAATGGGTTTATAATTTTCCATCTGGTGGGAAAAAAATCATACTCAAATAGTTCTCCTGTCTGGGGATGTTTAGGTTGTTTCCTGGTTCAGCCATCTTGTTTAAAACACATGTGGCAAAGGATTCCCCTGGTGGGAACTCAGACAGTACATTTAAGGGTCCGCTATCATTCAGGTGATTTCAAAGTCTCAAGGACAGGCACTAAATTAGACACTGAATTTGGGGATTACTTTCAAGTAAGAGAAGGGCCCTAGTGTATGCTGGGGACCCCTATGCACAAGACCCCAGGCTAAATGCTTTTCCTGTCCTCATTTAACACACCAAACATCTCAAGATAAGGGACATTATTCCCATTTTACAGATGAGAAAACTGATTTTGAGGGGCCAAGTGCCTTGCTCAGGATCATTCGCCATCTAGCGCAGAGCTTGGCTCTAAATTGCCAGACCCCAAGTTCAAGGCTTGGTGATCCTATAACAGAGCTGGGGACTCTTGCTTTCCTGCCTTCACTTAATTTAGGTGAACCCAGTATAACCGTCACGACTGTAAACTGCCGTCGTCTCTAAGAAAGCATGAAATATTAACGGGCTTCTTGCACTGTTGGCTATTTTTAAGCTACGGTTTGACAACCTGATACACGGTGCACGTTGGACGGATGCTTTGTGTACTTTATGTCAGTCCTGACAAATAGCACTGGGAAGAAGAGGGCATCATCCTCATTATGCAGATGAGAAATCTGGGGGGCCAGAGAGGCAAAGAAGCTAGCCCAGCAACACTGGCAGAGGAGGGACTCGGACCTGGGTCTGTGTGACTCTGGGCCTGGGCTCTGACCACTGGGCTCTGCTGCCTGACGGAATGAGAGTCAGCTCGAGTACCTCCACCAGGCCGGGCAGCCAGGCCGGGCCTCATCCTGTTCTCCACCTCCCTTCTCCCAGATAACAGCGACTTGATCGCGTGCACGGTGATCACCAAGGATGGCGGCATGGTCCAGCGATTCCTGGCTGTCGACATTTACCAGATGAGTCTGGTGGAGCCGGATGTGTCCAGGCTCGGCTGGGGAGTCGTCAAGTTTGCAGGCCTTCTGCAGGTAAGGTGGCCAAGGACTCTGGAGTCTCTTCTCGGTTGGCTGTACAAACACACACACAAAATTACCATCTTTACAATTAATTAGTCATTATTCAAGGAATATGTGAACAAATTATCTCCAGAGAAAGTGCTGAAACATTGCACAGATTAGGGTTGAGTCCTCTTTGACCAAAACCCTCAATCCTCACACCTCCCCTCCCCAACGGGAGAGAACTCCTGTTATCGGTATGATCCTTCCAGATCTGCTTCTCTGCCAAATGCATATTTAAATATGATGACATGCACTATTTTTTGAAATTGTGTACGTATACTTGACAGTGTGTCTGTGTGTATTTTTAATGGTGTCACATCAAACATATTCTACCCTTTGCTTTCTTCACTCGATAGCGTGTCTTAGAGGACTGTGTTAGTATATGCAGACCTACTGGAGTTCTTTTTAACTGCTGTGGGACTATACCCAGGAATGTTTAGCCAGTAGTACCCTGTTGGCTGTTGCCAGTTTTTTACCTTTCCAGACAGTGCTGCTGTGACCAGAATCGTTCTTACTTCCTTATGCACTTGGGTAAGATTTCCCTCGACTGATACCAACAAGTTGGGGTGTGCCAATTTTAAGTGTTAACAGATATTGCCAAATTCCTCTCTAAAATGACTTTTGCCGCTAGCAATTTATACGAATTCCCTTCTCCTCACCCTCTCTCCAGCAAAGCTAGGCTCTAAGTTGCCAAGCACCAAGTTGGGGCTTGGGGTTTTTCTGATGTTTGTCAATGTGATGGGTGACTAATGCAAGCTTATTTGAGCAAAGGGAGCAAAGAACCTGAGGGTTGAAACAGCCTTGCAGCGCGCCCCTCTGTCACACCACCAGTCCCTGGATGTCCCGCGGACACTTCTGGCCTTAGCGTCACCCTCCTTCAAGGCAGTCCGTTTCCTTGCAGGGCGGCCCTGGCTTCTGGAAGGGCCTTGCCCAGGCTGCCCCGCAGCCTCCTCCTCCTCCCCGCAGCGTGACCTGCTGGCTGTGTCCTGCTCTTCACGAGAAGCCCGCTGGTGTTTGAAGATGCTATTGGAGTCTTTTTCCCAACCTCCTCTTTTTCAGGGTCTTTCTGTTTCAAAAATGTGTTTTGCAGAGTGTGATATGAGAAACAACTATAGAAGAATCTTTCATTTAAAAAAAAAAAAGACTTCCATGGAAGACATTGTCCATTAGGTGACTTATACTTCTTATTTATCTAGGCTTTATCTAGACTTATGATCAATTTCCTTTAGAATTTAGTGTCAGGAGAGTGTTTTTCTCCCTTGAAGGATTAATACAGGTCCTCCATCATACAATAAAAGCCACATAAACCTTTTTTTTGGCCGACTTCCAATGGCTACTATTTGTCAGGTCGTTATTATACCATGCTCCTTGCTTTAAATGCATAATACCTCATCTAATCCTCACTGCCACATTTTGATGTGGGTATTATTTCCAAAGAGCTCATGCCAAGTGCAATGCCTCAGAACAGCGACTGTCTTCCTTCACAAGTGTTTTTCAGCATTTTCCTCCACCTCCTCTAGCATTGCTGACTTTTGTGTCTGTCTCCTGTCTCCTGCTTTTGTCTCAAATCACCCCAAACCTTCATGAGATTTTCTATGAAGGCTCCATTCTGAGGTCTTAGATTGCAATTGTCCTTATTATACTTGCAACATGCTTGTTTCTTCTCCACCTTTTTTTTTTTTTTTTTGGAGGCAGAGTCTCGCTCTGTGGTCCAGGTTAGAGGTAATGGTGTGATCATAGCTCAGTGCAAACTCAAACTCCTGGGCTCAAGTGATCCTCCTGCCTCAGCCTCCTGAGTCGCTGGGACTGCAGGTATGTGTCACGACACCTGGCTGATATTTTTCTATTTTTGGTAGAGACGGGGTCTCACTCTTGCTCAGGCTGGTCTCAAACTCCTGACCTCAAGCGATCCTCCTGCCTCAGCCTCCCAGAGTGCTAGGATTACAGGCGTGAGGCACCACACCTGGACTTTCCTTCTCTACCTTTAAATGTAGCTTTCTTCTAATCTCTGCTAAGTGGCCCTCCCTGTCCCTTTCTCTTGGTGAGCTTTTTCCTTTAGGAACCAAAGACATACAGATGGTTGCCAATGATGCCTCCTTCTTAAGAGAAATAAGAAAGAAATTGATTAGTAGATAAGTGACTACATCTAAGATCATGCCAAATAGTGATAGGCGTTTTAGTTCATTGTCTCTGGGTTCTCAGAAGTAAGGATTGTTGGAGCTTACCTGCTGAATTACCTGTGGCCCCTTGAAGAGGCTGGGGTACTTGTTTATTCAGTAGGTGACTCACGTCCCCATGGAAATGGAGGCTGGCCACCACAGCCAGCATCGGCTCCTTTGGGGCCCTCTGTGTCCCCCCCACCCAGCTCTCCCACTGGGTCTGGTCTGCTTTGTGCCCGCTGACTCTGTTGGCCATGGGAGGCTGATGGTCTCCTTCAGAGCAAAAGCAGAGTTGAATTTGGAGGCCTCTTGCTAGATGAGCCATGACCCCACCGCCTCTGAGCAGCTGCCTTCCTCCCGAGCCCGACAAACCGCCTTTCCTTTGCCCCTCACTGTGCAGGACATGCAAGTGACCGGTGTGGATGATGACAGCCGCGCCCTGAACATCACCATCCACAAGCCTGCGTCCAGCCCGCACTCCAAGCCCTTCCCCATCCTCCAGGCCACCTTCATCTTCTCAGACCACATCCGCTGCATCATCGCCAAGCAGCGCCTGGCCAAGGGCCGCATCCAGGCGAGGCGCATGAAGATGCAGAGGATAGCGGGTGAGTGGCTGGGCCCTCGGGCAGGGCTTTCGGCATGGCTCTCACCCTGACCTTGAAAACCCTCACAGCCTCTCTAGAAGATGAAACACATGGTTCAGGAATGGATTGCTTAATTAACGAGAGAGGAGAATCTGCTCGGAGTTCCCCACTTCCTAAGTTTTGGTTTCTAGAGAATTCCTAGGGCTGCCTGGAAAAGACATGGAACCCTCCCTAGCAGGCAAGAGGCCATGAGCAGGCAGGCGTCAGTGTTGGGACTACTGTTGTCACTCCTCCACGTGAAATTCTCAAGCTTATGCTTACAAAGGGCTTCCACATTTGTCTCCTGCCTTTGATCCTTAAAACAGCCCTTGAGATCTGTGGGGCCAGCCCTGCACATTTTACAGAGGAGGGAACAGGCTCGGTGGCTTGCCCAGAGTCGCGCAGGCAGCAAGTTGGCAGGACCCAAAGGCAGAACTTCCTACTTGATAGCTCTCCTGAGAGGCGGCCCTGCTTAGTGAGGGGCTGGGACCCAGCGCTGAATTCAGAAGGAAGCTGTTTTACGTTTTGCAGGGATGGTGGTGACTCGAGGGGGCCCGGCACTACCCAGTGTCAGGAAGGCCCCGGCTTCCCCAGAAGTAAAGGCACTGAGATGAGGGTGTTTACCGGGGAGGAAGGCAAGACATTCTCCCTGGGGGAAAGGGATTCTGTCAGCTCCTAAAATTATAAACAGTCTTTCCCAAGATACTCACCACTGCTCATTTCAGGTCCCCTGGTCATGCTGGCATGGTTTCCAGCTCACTGGGGGAGGAGGAGCTTTCCCAAGGGGTAGCTTCAAAGCGAGCCCCTGCGGGCTGGTCTGTCAGGCACTGCAGATCCAGCTGCCTGCTGCTGTGCGTGCCGCGGTGGTGTGCACGGGCTGCCTCCCGTGGCGTCCTCCCCGTCTCATTTCTCATTTAGCTGAAACTTGGCCTACGAAATCATTATAGAAGCATTTTGTAATGTGCAAAGTGACTTAAATCATTCAGCCCTTTCTTTTAAGATTTATTTGTGGAGGGCTTTTTCCCCCCCACGTAAAGCAATTTCTCACAGCTGGCACGAAGGCCAAATATTTCATTTGGAAATTGAGAATTATGCCGTAAAGTGGCTGTTAGAACTAACGCCTTGGGTATTTCTTAAATTGATTTTAAAAGCCCCTCTGAATTGCTATATCATGAGACTTGTTTATGGAAGAAAGGATAGCCGCTGAGACAGATAAACACCCACTCATAAATACACATGCATGCGCGCATATGGATTCTTTCTCACGTGCTCCTCCCATGCACCCACCCACACACACACACACACACACACACACACGAACTTTCCAGGCAGAATTGGTCCCACGTGCTTTGAGGTCTGAAAGGGCACGAGAGGCTAAGCCTTAGTCAGGGACCTTTATACGTGGAAGCTGAGAATCCGAGGTAGAGATTGGCCCAGCAGCCATTCCGCTGGAGGAGCCAGGCCTGGAGCCCCTTCTCATGGTCTCAAGCTTGGCCTGAACCCCTCCCTAGATACCTGCTTGTGCTTTGAGCCTCAGTGGGATCTTTGGTGTCCCACTAGTCTCCCCAGCTCAAGGCTGCCTGCTTGGCTCTTCCCAAGTGACGTGCCTGGCAGGGCCACAGCCACTATAGTTCCCCCGAAAGTCTCATCACCTGCCCCCCATGCCACGCGCTAAGAGTGACCCGTGGTATCGTTTGACTGCAGCCCTCCTGGACCTCCCGATCCAGCCGACGACCGAAGTCCTGGGCTTTGGACTCGGCTCCTCCTCTTCCGCCCAGCACCTGCCTTTCCGCTTCTACGACCAGGGCCGCCGGGGCAGCAGTGACCCCACGGTGCAGCGCTCTGTGTTCGCGTCTGTGGACAAGGTGCCAGGTGAGCCAGCCCCACCCTGCGCTGTGGCCCGCCGTGGGGTCCCAGGGCGTTCTCTCTGTCGAGCCTGTGTGCGCCGCCCTTCCTCTCTCAGAAATCCAGTGAGCTGGAAGCGCCAGCTTTTGGAATTTGTCAGAGCATAGCACAACATAAACACAAGCCCCCGAAATAAATCTTGGCTCTCCCGCTGGTGTTTTACCGCCATGGTTTGGTTTTCCAGAGATTTGTTGGGTATGTGGAAGAACTTCTCAGAACTGACTTAAGAAGTTTCTTGGAAATACTTAAATTATTAGTAATGAGCTGTGGGAGAGTAATTTCCTCCTCCATGTAAGATGACTAGAAAGAGATAGTTAGTGTGTTTGGTTCTTGTTACAGTCCCCTGAAGAAGTGGGACTTTGGGAGAAGACCCTGCCACCCACAGGGCAGCTGCCCGTCTCTGCCACCTCGTAGCATCTTTGCCCACTTTCCCCAGGGTTCATCCCTAACTCCTGTCCCCTCCCCCAAAGGAGCACCTCGAACGGAAAGTTTAGCTCGATTTGGCAGAGCTGCAAGAACTGCTTCTTCAGAAGGGCAGCTCTCCCTTGCCTGTCCTGACACGTCTGCTTTAAGTGAATCCATGTGTACCCCGATCCTCGAAAGAGAGTCCTTCTCCTGATCACAAAACTTGAGAAAACAGCCACGCTCGCCCCTGCAACCTAACCCTTCCACACTGAGGATTTCAAACTTACATTGCAAGTGTTGTGAAACGTATTCAAAAGCAGTTGTCAATTTAAGAACAAAATATAGCTGTAAGAACCCACCTAAAATCTGGGTCCTGGCTCTCCTCCCTGCCCTCAATGATTTATTCTACTTTCATTCTTTGATTTGATTAATTCATTTTTTAAATGTATATGCTGTAGGCATATGATTTTTTTTAAATCCATACAGGACATGATGAAATGAAAAATAAGTCTACTTTGTAGTCCAGAAAGAACTACATCTCATGTTAACAATTTCTTGTATATCTGTCTAGATATGTTAATTTGTGTGTCATATATGCATTTATGCATGTTTGCTTTTACACATGGGATTATAACATGTAGGTGATTCTGTACCGCTTCCTCTTTTCACTTAATAGATAGTGTTACATGTTAACACATATAGATTGACTTGATTCTCATTAAGTGTTGTATGGTATTTTATCATATGGATGGAAAAAAAAATTTTATAACTGTTTCGTGTTGATGTATACTTGTCGTTTCCAGTGTTTTGCTCTTACAGTGTCACAGTGAACATCCTTGGGGTGTCTTTGTATAATTGTGCAAATCTTGCATGTCTATAGGATAAATACCCAGCATTGGATCTGCCAAGTCAAAGAGGAAGGTTTTTTTTTTGAGACAGAGTCTCGCTTTGTTGCCCAGGCTAGAGTGAGTGCCGTGGCGTCAGCCTAGCTCACAGCAACCTCAATCTCCTGGGTTCAAGCAATCCTGCTGCCTCAGCCTCCCGAGTAGCTGGGACCACAGGCATGCGCCACCATGCCCGGCTAATTTTTTCTATATATATATTAGTTGGCCAATTCATTTCTTTCTATTTATATTAGAGACGGGGTCTCACTCTTGCTCAAGCTGGTTTCGAACTCCTGACCTCGAGCAATCCGCCCGCCTCGGCCTCCCAGAGTGCTAGGATTACAGGTGTGAGCCACCGCGCCCGGCCCAAAGAGGAAGGTTTTTAATCTTCGTATATCAATATATAGTCCTAACATGAACTCTAGAAAGAAGTGCACCAGTTCACTCTGCAACCCATAGCTTGTGACTCCATTCTTAAAACCACTCTTAGGCTGCGAGATCATTTGTAGTACCGCCTCTGTTTTCTGCTATGACATGTGAGATGATTCTACCTGTTCTAGGGTCTAGAGGAGTCTTTGTTAAAAAAAAATTCTCCAGGTTGTGTCCCGTTCTATAGCAATGGCTGCTAAGTGAATCTAAACCCTGGCTGTGAGTCCAGGTTGACGCACTGCAGATTGGCCTGGCAAGAAATTATTACTTTAGGGTCGTCAAGGCTTCTTTCAGTTCAGGAACTTACTGGTTAAAGAGAAAAGTCTAGACCTTATTTTGGCTCTAGTCCTTTTTGGAAGAAGGCAGAGTATAAATAAATAAATAGAGCAAGTGTCATGGTCTTCAGCACCTGCACGGTCATTTCTGTTTGCGTGGTGCTTCTCGATGCTTGTTGCTTACGTCTCGCACCCACCTGGCTTCCAGGGGCGTGTGAGAGCACTAAGTGCTGGGGGTATGGCCCCAGCTCCGTGGCCTAGGCCTGCCTGCCAGGGGTGGTTAGCACAGCTGGGATGCCCAGTGTCCTGTCGTGGGTCTCAGGGTCAGGGGATATGAGGCTGTGACAGTTGGGACGACACCAAGTCCAAGGCAGCTGCTGAAGGTGGCATCCACTCCTTGCCTGTGGCTTTCCCCTCACTGCTCCTGGAAGTGCCACTCAGGTGTGGGCAGTGGGGTGGGGACATTCTCACTTATGTTCCTCCCTCCACTTATGTCCCTCCATTCCACTTATGTCCCTCCAGGGAGAGAGGCCTCACTGCCCTTCTGCCTTGGCTTGGTGCCATAGCTATGGCCTGAAGAGCAAGTCGAAATCCCAGAGCCTTAGTGTGGGGTTGGGGGTGGGGGTCCCATGGGGGCAGGAAGGGCAGTGGCTACTGCCTTCCCCTTCTCAGTAGTCAGGGTCTCCCACAGAGGCAGCCGGTCAGGGTCTGCAGTCGTCCTTAGTTCCTCTCTCCCTTCCCGTACCCACCACCCTGCTCCACCTCCGGAAACACCTCACCTCTGCTCCCCTCCCAGCCTTTGCCCAAGATTCCCCAAGAACAGCAGCCTCCTCTGGCTCCCCAGCTTCCAATCGCGTACCCTCCCTTCCATTTGGCCTGTGGGATCTTTCTAGAATGTAAATCAGAGTGTGTCATACCCCTGCCTATATCCTTCTGGTAGCTTCATGTTGCACTTGGACCAAAATCCACATCTCTCCTTCTGATCTTGGGTGGTGGCTGTGCGACCCAGCCCCTCAGATGAAGCCCCCATGTCCCTCCAGACTCCAGCCCCAACCCCGGCCATACCAGCCCTGGCTGCCCCTCTGAGCCAGCGCTTCTCAAAGTTATGGCCTCAGGACCCCTTTATGCTCTTAAAAAGTATTTTAATAGTATTGAGGAACCTAAAGTGCTTGAGTTTGTATGGATTATATCTATAGACTTTTGTGGCATTAGGAATTAAAACTAAGAAATGCTTTTAATATGTATTGATTTATTGACTACATCCATTGCATATAAGCATAACTAATATGGTTTTCTGCGAACAATAACTGTTTTAAAAAAAAAACCAAAAAACAAATGATTCACATTTTTGCAAATCTCTTTAATGTCTGGCTTAATAGAGGACATCTGGATTCTCCTTGGCGGCCGCTGTCAGTCTGTTGTGATAGCACACGTTATGTGGCGGCTGGAAAACGCCTCTGTGCACCCCTGGGAAGATGAATAAAGGAAACATGTCTTATTATTTTTATGAAAACAGGGATTTCCAGACCATGCTTTGAGAGCCACTGTTCTAGACGACAGGGCCCTTCCCTGCCTCAGGGCCTTGCCTTGGCCGCTGTTCCCTAGACCTGGTGCGGCTGCCCGCCCTCACTCAGGCCTCGCCTGCGTGTCCCTCCTCAAAGGCCTTTTCTGATCACTGCCCTGGCTAGGTCCCCCCACCCTGCCCCCATCACATTAGCCTGTTCCATTTTTCTGTGGCACGAAGTTCCCTACCTGGCCAATATATTTGTGTACCTGGCCATAGTCTTTCTGCCCCACAGAGAAGGTCACCTGCATGGGTGTCCCGTTTACCTCTGTGTCTCAGTGCCCAGCACCGTGCCTTCACTCAGGGTCTGCTGGGTGAAGATTGAGTCAACACTCATTCTCTGCACAGCCCTGGAACAGATGCCACCGAAGCCCTTCTCCCTCCTCTCCACACCAGAAAGACAAGGAAAGTCCACCTGGAGCCCCGGACGCGTGGTGGTTTAGCCCGTGGCACTCTGACAAGGGAACTCAAAGAAACGGAGTCCCTAGCAGATCTTAAGCAGCATCCCTCTGCTTAATTTCTGTCACCAAAGTGAGATGCACCCAGACGAGAGCTTTCAGCTATTTGCACATCAGCTCAGGGGTTTGCAGGATTAGGGCGTGGGGCTGGGAGGGGAGCGGGGCGCTGGGGGGAGGCTGCTAGCAGAGGCAGGGCCTGGCTGGGCCTCCAGGGCTGTGGTGTCCGCAGCTGCCATCAGGCCCGTGGGCGCTGCGGCGTGACCCCTTCCCGCCTTCTGCAATGGCGTCTCTGGCCGTCAGCCATGCCGTGTGGGATCCTTGCCTCTGCCTGGGGGATAATTCACAAGGAGGAAAACAGCGCTGGCCGCGTGCCTGAGGGTGACTGCTAGACAAGTTTGTTGTATTAAGACACATCTTCTGATTTTATCTGCAGCGCAGGTAATTGTCACAGAGCAGTTCGTCCCCCCTTTAGAAGCTATAAACGATTATATTTGATGAAAATATACCTTTCAGTTCCTTGGAGGAGATATTAAAGTAGAGTATAAATCAGAGCTAATAGGTGACTAGCCACTTCGGTGTATTCTTCTTCTTCCATTTGTCTTAGAAAAAAAATCACAAATTCTGTTTATTGTCCAGTTTTATGTTTATGGCTCTCGTCCCCACCGAATGTTCAGCGCCACGAAGGCAGAGGCTCGTGTGCGCTCCTGGCCAGGAGGGAGGGGTCGGTGGTGGCCAGGACGTGGGGGTGGCAGGCTCAGCCGGGTCTAGACTCTGGCCTGCGCTCTCCGCGGCTTTGAAGTGCTTGGCTTCTGCACTCCCTGCACCCACCGGCCCGGTCCACCGGCCCTCAGCAGCAGCTGCTTTCCAGAATCTGCCTCAGCGGACGGAGTGTCCAGAACCAGCCCATGAGGCCACACTTTGCATAAACTCTGGCCATACCCGCAGCCCCCAG